AACACTATACAGAAGCCTGATGATGGCAGATGAGATTCTGCCCAAACGTTGCTACAACTTTAAAAGCATAACTATAATGACATGGGAAAATACCCGAACAAAGCTGAATACCACACACACACACACACACACACTGTATATATGTCTCAATATATCACACTGGGAAACTTAAAGGAACTGTCAATTTGTTTCCGGTTGAGGGCTACATCGAATGTTGGACATTACTGGTTTTATACCAAAAGTGGGAAAACACCTACTGTCATTTTTCACTCTTGATAATAATTTCATTGTCATGTACTTCTTTTCCTTTATTAATATAAACCCCATAAAAACAAGTGTAGCAAGTTGTAGAATGCATCTGAAAAATAGATCAGCTTAAAAAACATAACTGCAATTGAGTTTGTACCACAAATGTAATGGATATCAATATTTATTTTTATCAATATGATGTCATCCTTCCCTTCTGTAAAGGTAAAGTTTCCCCTGCACATGTGTGCTAGTTGTTTCTGGTTCTAGGCAGTCCTCATCTCCGTTTCTAAGCCGAAGAGCCAGCGCTGTCCCAAGACGTCTCCGTGGTCATTTGACTGGCATGACTAAACACCGAAGGCACATGGAGCGCTGTTACCTTCCCACCAAAGTGGTTCCTATTTTTCTACTTGCATTTTTTACGTGCTTTCGAACTGCTAGGTTGGCAGAAGATGGGACAAGTAAGGGGAACTCACTCTGTTATGCAGGGCTAGGGATTCGAAGTCCTGAACTGCCAACCATCTGATTGACAAACTCAGACTCTTAGCCACTGAGCCACTTATATTCTTCTCCTCTTTCAGTGTTATTTTTTTCTTATGTGGTACAAATGAACATAGTTGTATAGTATTTGTGGCAGCAAGAATATGTGCTCATTCAACTGATCAGCACCAATAGCAGTATTGAGCACATATGAAGATTTTACCAATATTGTAGGAAAAGGAGTCTAAAGATCTCTGGGCCACATCTTGTCACAAAATTATTTCGTAGCATCACCTTATTTCAGAACTGTTATATTATTCAATGAAACCTTAGTACTCTGTACTTTTTTTTTGCCCGTCAAAGACCCACCTAGGCCAAGATGGAAAGATCAACACATGACAATATAGAATTAAGCAAACAAAGAAAGTTAAATGAAATGGTACAGATGACAGTGAAATACCTTAATATAGGCCAAAGCAAAATCCAACTGCAGGAATTACAGCCCAAAACTCAGAAACACATGAGTTCACACATTCAGGGATATAAGAATGAATTTTTGGAGAAGCAGCTGTAAACTTGGTACCAAACATATACATACTGAATAACATTAAAAAAGACCGCTCCCTATATCTGTATCTTTCTCTCTTACACACATATAGTACATAGAGATTATTAGCAGAGCACTATCCCACCACACACATTCACATAACCTGTGTAAAGGCAGGTTTATTATTACTATCCCAATTAATTGCATAATGACATCCCAAGTCATCCAAGTTCTTCAGATCAGGATGTCTTGCTATACTGGAAAAATAAGCATATTTATGGGCTCTAGAATTTGCCAGCAGCTTGCCAATAATAAATTTCCAAGATATTAAGTAGCCTGGATAGTTAACATATCCTGCTAAGACATAGAGAAACATTTGATAAGAACAGCTTAGGCAAAGTGGTGACCTGTAAGTTTCTGGATTTACAAATTCTTCACCATGCCTTTAATTATCTTACCAAAAGGTAACAAAACTAATATTACTTTGACCAAATCAGGAGAAGAAAAACCTATCAATCACAGTGTTTGTTGCATTATAGTATTTAATTTAGAACATTTCCATTTCCTCTCCTTTGATCACAATGCATTTTCAACATATACAAAGGTGCCATTTATAAACATATGTCTACATGCAGCCACGAAGGAACTGAACATTATTGCTGAGTGGGATTCCAGCAAGGAATCAAGTGTGCTACACCTTCTGTACAATGGAGATTTCAAACGTATGTTGAATATTTTTGTGACCTGTCTCTCACACAGTCTGCCTAAAAAGAAAAACACACTGACATGGCATTGTGTTTGTTTTAGATGTATAGTCACTTATTGCCGTGACAATTAGCCAACAAAGAAAAAAAACAAACTACCCCACTCCAAGCCCCACCCCCAGCATTGGTAGATCAGGAGATCCACTGGGCAAATCTTTTGGTTTTAACTTGAAAAATCAGTATGGTGTTATCAAGAGAAACATCTTTTCTCATAATGTAATTCTGATTGTATTTCCTTCCCTTCACATCTTCTGTATCTCACCTTGCTTCCTGCTGCAGTTTATTCTGGAGAAGTCTTATCAGATCACCTCTGTATTGCCTCATTCATTAGGGTTACTAATCAAGTAGGGTCAGTAGTATCTGGCCATATGTTCTTCCTCCTCCCATTTTCCATTTTTCTAATCGATTTTATAGCCCCACCAGGGATATTTTCAAGAATGATGTTCTTTACTGAGAGGTAATTATATCATTTTTCACTAGAAAAGAAATAAACATCATGTGGTTCAATATGCTCCAGTTAATTCCAATATACTGAGTAAAACCTTTAAAGGAGAATAAAGGGTAACCAATGAGGACATTACATCTGCTACATGAGTTAGTGCAGTAGGGAACCTAAATCCTCCAGCTGGAAGATTTCATATTATGTTCTATATACTTCCTTCCTAGCACTCTTGACATGAGGATCATAAGATTATGGATCTATTTTAATCCTGACAACCAAGCAAAATCCTCAAGAATTCTGCTGTGCATGTTGAAAATTTGCATGTTTACTGAGACAATGGCTAAACACTCAGCAAGTGCTTGGTTATCTTGAGATAATCCCAAATTAGTGCATAAAAAGTGGAAAAGGTCCATTCAACACTAATTCAAAAATAGTGCAAACATAACTATGCAGAACAATACTAAGAATGGGAAATCCATCTTCCAAATAGTTTTTCCTATTGTTGGTCTCCATCTAAGCATTATTTATTTTGGAAAATTGGACTGTTGTTAATCTGTTGTTGCTTGTATCATCTGTTTTTATGGTCCTGACCCAGAAAAGGCAATATAAATGAGTCTGTGTGGGTGGAAGATTTATTGTGCCATACACATATTGTCCAACAAATATTCTTTTTTCTCTACAGCTTTCACTTGGTGACACTGACATTTAAATACATTCTAATCCTTGTCTTTATATCAGCTCTACAAGCAATAAATTTTCCCAAGCTGGAGTCTGACTCATACATGCATTTACATTATTTTATTTCATTATGCTTAATTTTTGGCAACTGATGCCTAACTCATTTGCTGAAAGCATTTCTAATGATATAAACTTCCTGGGTTATGGAATCTGGTCATCATATTTGCAAGTCATTGCTTAGTTTTGCAGAAATTCCATGATACAGATGTGAATCAGGCCAATATAGTGATGACTTTATGATATGGAAATGCTTGGAACAATACTCTGATCTCAAGTAAAACAGAAATACCAATTGATTTTTGAGACGGAACTGAGTAGCCTGCTAACCACTTCTTCCATGAGAAGATGGATTTGACTGCTAAGGAGCTAATTGATGAAAAGAAAACTGCAGTTGAGTTTCTATATAGTGCATGACTAAATGATCATCAGAATGTGAGAGATAGCTTAATACGGAGGAGTCTAAAAGTCTCTATATGCAACATCATATGCTACTCCTGAATCAGCTATTCTTCCTTGTGGCAATTTCTTCATTACATGATTTATTTATTTTTTTGGTCCCTGTTGCTGAGTAATGACATGGTTTCAGATACAGTTTGCACATTTGACCAAATCTTTCTGATACATCATTTGTTTCCTGTGTTGCATCGTGCATATGCCTATATTTTGCACTTGTGGTAGCAAACAGGATTTGTTCGTTGTTAACAGCACCCTTTCACCAGGGTTCATCAGAGCTGTCAAACTCCCGGCCCACGGGAGAATGTGCCATGTGCTGGCCACGCCCACTTTCAGTTTAGCAAAGGGAGGAAGTTCTGATATGTCATGTGATGCCGCCGTGACAACATGAGTTTGACTCCCCTGCCATGGATAGTGCGTGGATGGCTTTTATGATATAGATTTTAGCATTAGGTTAATAAAAGTACTCACTAATAGTCTTTATAGAAGGAAGCAAGAAAATGTATTTCTACTCCAAAAAACAAAATAGAAAACATTTACTCAATATCATGAGTGTACTGTGTATTGATCATTACCAAATCACCAAGTCTTGTTTTGAAAATACTTGATGAATTAAAAATTTAACTGTATATTTTGTATACTATTTGGGCAATTTAAAGTATAAAGAAAATATATTTCTGGAGTTTTGGGGGAAGCAAAGGAATACCCATTACTAAGATACTAATAGGTTAGAGTCACAGTATAAAACCTAGGAAAGAACTGTTTCCCGGTTTGTTTATGCAGTATAAGAAAATACCGGTAAGTGCTTAACCTAAGTAAATGAGCCATGCATGTACATCATGTTTGAATGTATTCAGTAGTGTACTGGATTTGTTATATATACTATTGGATAAATGGTGATCAATAGTCTAGCTCACTTACAGAAGTATTTCATGTGAGCTATCTTTCACAGGCCAATATCTCATACATGGCCCATTATATATTCCAACTGGCCCTAGAAATATACGATCTAACAAGGCATCTCTTCTTAACCAGCAGATCAAGTCAGAAAAATGCCATACTAGGGATGTCATACTAGGGATGTCATACTAGGGATGTCTATGCAAATATCATATTAAATAACTTTTCAAATCATAGACTTTCTTTCTCTCTCTATTTCCTTTTTCCTTTGTTTTTTATAAAAATATATCTGCAAATCACATAGCTGAAAGCATGCTGGGAAACAAGGAAATCTGGAGTAACCAGGATCTTTGAACTTCTATGAGCAAAGCAGTAATATTTTCTGTCTAGTTCAGAAAAGCGTCTGGCTAAGGAAGGTCCCTGAGAAATTATCAATGCTGCTATCAGTTATATGGTGGGTCAGCCACTACACACTGAGGAGCAAACATAGTTGTATGATTTCCCCAGGACCCAGGAAAGGGGACAACAGAACTGCAAACTACTTTGCCTCCTCAAAATTAAGCAGAAGGGGCTCCGAAGTAAGACTCATCCGTATGTGACCAATAAAAGGCTATATATAGGTGCCTGGCCACATCATCTTTTTGACAGAAGGTGATACCAATTGTGAGCAGTCACACAAGTACAGAGAAATAAAACTAACACAGAAACCAACAGACCACATTGTCTTCTTAGTCAGAGAAGGGCTTTGCATTTCCATGGATAGCTTGCATGCAAAACAGCATTGTTGGGGATTTTCTGAAAATGGGAGGGGGTCGAGAGCCTTACACTAAGATAGATCCCTCCCAATAAGTTAAGGCTGGTTAATTATTAATTGGCATCTATTGTCAGGGTCCAAAGACAAGAAGACAGGGTGTGAATTACAGCAGAGGGAATCTCCCTCACACTCACAACACAGAGAGCTCTTCACCAAAATACCTTTACAGAGACTGCAGTGAATGTGACGAGAAACTAAGTCAAACAGGAGTGAATTTCCAGCCCCACATGGATAAAGATACACAGCAAGTGGTGCTCCTATCAGTTCCCCCTCAAGCCTCCTTTCATCCTTTCCACAAAAGCTGCTTGCGAGATCCAGTGGGAAGATTCCGTGAAACAGTAATTATTACCCAGGTGCTCCAATATGGGGTAGCCTGCAGGAACCCAAGGCAGCTTCGCTCCCCTTGCCGACATCCTCTTTTTAGTGTATACTTCTCTCATCTTGCTCTTCATCTTTCATCTTCAAATTTCTGTCAGAGTATCAGCAGGCACCAGCCCACGTTTTTTGCCACTTGTCACCTTGATGAAACCTTCATTCTCTTTAGTCTTTCCCACACCAACACAGATCTAGAAAAATCAGAAGAAGGTGTAGGGAGAATCCTAAATGTTATTAAAAGACAGAAAAGAAGCTGCTAGATGTACATGTATTATGAACTCTACAATGTGACATTTAAAGTATGGAGTAGTAAATAAGTATTCCTTACTGCCTTGTTTATGTGTTTTGGAGGCATTTTTTAAAAAATCAAGTTTTAGCTCAGTGTTACTCAGTCACTTCCAAAACTCATGCTTCTCATGGGCATTTTAAAAATCATTTTTCATAAACAAAAGGTTCTGGCCAAGAAGTTGCACTTTTTAAACCATAAAGGCTACAAACTTTTAGTAAAACTATCTAGTAGCCTTTGGCAGCTTGTACAACTCATCCTACAAGCCATATCATGTCTCATTAATTATCCAAAATTTCAAGTGGCAGCTAAAGAGTGGTATATACAACAGACATAAACATAACCAAAACCTTTCTTTCCTGATCAGTGCCTATAATAACTGAGAGACTATTCAAGAAAAAGAAAGAGATGTAGTGCACATGACATATCTAAACCTCATACTATAGCAATGTATGTTTGGAAAAAAAATGAAGAGTAAGAGACTGGTTCCAAAACAAAGGAGGAAAATGTATTTGATATTCTTTTATATACAGCCCCACTGCTGTAATAAAGAGAAGAGACCGGATCCCCTAATTCTGGATTAAATTTTATGAGATACCACAGTGCCTCTTACATGAAGTTTAAACTTAACTTTCCTTTGGGTTTATGCTGTTAATGCTGTTAGTTAGTTACACGGTTTTTCAGCCCTCTGTATAGGCTTCCACGTATTAGAGAACAAAACTTTAATACCAAAACTTTAATGCCAATGGCTGAGAATCCGCCTCCCAACAAAATACATTTCTAGATATATTTCTGTATGACTCATCCAATAATAAAAAATAATAAATGAAGCATATTCAATGGAAACTCCAAATAAACTGCCCTAAGCAACTGTCTGAGTTTCTTAATATTAGAATTAGTCCTGTGTTCCAATATTTTTCACCTTGGCTTGCCTCTCCTACTCTACACTATCGTACTGGCTCTCCTTTGTTTGGCATCCAAACTGCCTTAAGCTCCTTTCTTCCATTATTTGTAGCATCCAGTCCTTCCTTACTGCCTCAGCATAACTTTGTTTGGTTAAGACCTATTAAAATGAACCAAAGAATTCAGATTGGCTGAAATCCTGCACACTGACCGTGGATGCAGGAGCATCAGGCTGGCAGAATAACATGGCTGCAAGGAGATGCTGAATTTATTTTGTATGTTCAAGAGGGAAGGACTTTGGAATGCCCAAATGGAAAATTCATTGGCTGCAAAGTTAATTCCATGGTTTTCTATTAAAATCACTAGAGGAGGAGACTAAGGACAAAAGGCTTTAAAGACCAAGGGCCTTTATATATAGCTCATCTCCAATATTATTAAATTCTGTATGGGAATATATTAGTCATCTCTCTCTATCAGCTGTTTTTCCTAACCTGTTATAAAGCTATAATGACCACTGGAAATCTGAGTCTTCTTGTCCTGACTCAACTGAAGGGCAAAAGCTAGAATGTGTCTTTGTACAATCTCTGGGTAATTTTATTTTGCTGAATTATAGTCCATCTGAAATATAGTCCATCTGAAAGTGTCAAAGAAGCATTGCTACTTGAATTACATAATGATTCAATGAAAAGTTCTCACTCAGCAAAATGTCTCCAGTGCCTTACTTAGCTCCAAGATTTTAGTTCTTCAGCAATACAGAAACTAGGTCCTCCTCAGCTGCAGTTCAGCTTGCGTGCAATAGTATTATACAAAATTGTATACAACCTTCATGTCAAATTCATCACCATAATATGAAGCACAGATATTTGCTCCTAAATATAGAACTTTGAGAACTGGTAGTACTGACACATTATGTAATTATGTGATAATCATTTTAAATGTTAAATTACACTGACAACAATGGTACATATTATCAGAACCATGGCTTTCCAGTTGTGACATACGGCTGTGAAAGCTGGATCATCAGAAAAGCTTAACCTGGACCACAAGAAGAAGTAAAATTAAGACTTTTCAGTTCAAGCACAAATAAGAATGCTAAAGTTTAAATATTTTGGATGCCTGCTATGAGGGGTGAGTCACTGTACAAGCCTCTAATTCTTGGAATAATAAAAGATAATTCCAAGAGTCTGACAGAAAACAAAATCACTACATGCTATCAACAGATAACACAAGCAAAAGCTTACAAGAATATAAAGAAGCAAAGGATAAAGATTATCCTAGCAAAACAATGTCCATCAGGTTACAAAAACTGAAGAAAAATACAGTTCTTTTTAGGTTCAACCTGGTATTTGAATTCAATAGGCAATACCAGGAAAACAGGTTAGATTTGAAAGCAAGCCAATCAAGCTATTTATTTATTTATTTATTTGGCTGCTTAAAACTTGTCTCTAAATTTCCTAGAATCATGTTTGATTCCTTTTATTTTAAATTACCTTTTACTTCAGGGAGAGGGAACCTTTTTCCCACAAAGCCTACAGAACATTTATGAGTGGACCAAAGCTGCATTTTAGTTCTTCTTGGATGACCCCATTTTATTTTCACTTCAAGCTCATGTAAGTGCTGGCCAAGAGGCAGGGCGTATCTTTCCAAACTTGAACTGACTGGACACAGGTGGGCTTTGTGAAAAAGAGGCTAGAGGCCTTACTTGACCACGTCTATATTTGGGGGGCATACATGCCTACCTGGTTTTCTTTAAGGCTCAGCTGTCCCTGTTCTTTATTGCCACAAAAAGTCCTGCAGCATCTCCAGACAGTTTCACCCGGGCGAACTCGCTGGACAAAATTGGCTGGGAAAAAGCCAATGCGGTCTCCCATCTTCCCCTAAATTGCAAAACAAAAATGTCATCGCTATAGCATAAAAGTTTATGATAGTATTTATGTTATACTTTTATATCTTGCTCATCAGCAGGCATAGAAACTTGGCCTTTTAAATTAAAAATTATAAACTGAGACCTGTAATTATCTGGATTTTAAATAGGAGCCATAGAAAGCAAAACTGGTCCTAGAGAATTGTTCTGCTTTATGGTAAATACATGCATAGTGATATATTTGCTAGTTTTCTTCAACAGGCAATAAAGGAAAGTACTGATTTCATCAGATTTCTACTGGATTTTTCACTATGTAATTATACTTTTACTTTTTGTAATGGGTTTATTGTTTTGAAATTTTTATTGCATGTTATGGTTAGAAAGCACCTGGGAGGAGGTTTTTATAAAGGCAAAGTAGAAGTTTCTCTAGTCAGAAATAAGTATCTGAATCAAGTAAAACATTTGCCATTATACTTGCTTTTACGCAATAAGGGGAACCATCCTTACTGTTTGGTTAAGGCTTTATTTTGGAGCTTTATCACCTTCTTTCTCAAAATCAGTTCTCCCCAACTTGTATTTTCCTAATTTGTTGGTACTGGTACTGCATCTCCCAGATGATCCAAACAGTGTCACCATTGTGAATTTTGGTCCCAATATATGGTATTTTTAGAATGATTGGTTAGAAAACTTGGCTGTATATCAAGGGCTTCCAAAATTTTTCAAGATCAACATTCTACATTCTTTGATTCTAAGCAGATGGTCATGGGCAGGATGATAGGAGTAACATCAAGGAATAAGTAATCTGACTAGAGCCCAGCGTGCTTTGTTAGTTTTCTCCTTTTAATTCAAAGGACTTCTCAAAGATTCATTTTGGAATGTTAAAAATATGATTTCAGTAACTTAAAACTTGAGAAGGATTTCATGGATGAGAATCCTGAGGGAGAAAACAATCCCAGAGGCTTGGGAAACTTTGAAAAGTGAGATTATAAAAGCCCAGTCTAGCACAATTCCAATGAAGAAGAAAAATAAGATTATCTTAAAAGGAACTAGCATGGCTGCACAAAGAATTTTCTGATAAACTGAAATACAAAAGGGATAAAATATTTAAATAAAATTAAAAAATGGGCACATAACTTAGGCACAATATCAGCAAATAGTCGAATCTGCAAAGATGAAGTCAGGAAAACTAAAACTAACATGAATTAAAGCTTAAAACAAAAGTCAAAAATAACAACAAAAAAGCTTTTTCATGTAAAAAACAAGAAAAAAGTAAAGGAAACATTTGGTCCATTAATGGGAGAAGATGGCAAGAATGTGGCAAGCAGCAGGGAGAAAGCAGAACTACTATTTCTCTCTCTCTCTTTACACAAAAGGAAAAAAACACTCTATTAAAAAAAAACACTGCAAAATGCAGATTGGAATGTAAATCAAAATAAGCAAGATCATGGTAAGATAATTTCTATCTATCTGAGATGATTTCAAATCACTAGGACCAGATAGATTACACCTCCAGGTTCTGAAGTAATTGGCAGATGTGATCAGAAACTGAACCATATCTTTCAAAGAATCTGGAGCACTGGCCTGCGTACCATACAGGGCTCGTTCCAGTATTTTAGATAAGCATAGGCTATCTTGGGTTGAGGAAATTAGATCCAAAGAAGCATATTATTGTTTATAATTAATTTATCCAATGATAGTGATAGAATCTCCACTTTAGAATGCCTAGGTATTGAAAACCTGGTCTTCTGTACCTGCAGACTTCCAGTTGGAATATTTTTAATGACTATCTATCTATCTATCTATCTATCTATCTATCTATCTATCTATCTATCTATCTATCTATCTATCTATCTATCATATTTCTGAATCACCCATCTCCTCAGAAATGAAGCCTTCAATCACAATGGGCTAACATTTCCTCCCCCCACCCCTCGCTCATATTTTAGGATCCTGTCCCTTCAGGAAACTTCCGAAGACAGAACTTTTCAGACAGAGCAGAGGATGTCACCATTGTAGTACAATGGTTAAGATGCTGGCCCAAGATAAAGGAGTCCCTGGTTCAACTACCTGGTAAGCTATGAAGCTCACTGGATGACTTTGGCCCAGTCCTTCTCTCCCAATTCAACCTACCTCATGGAGTTGTTGTTGTTGTGGGGGAAACCTAGGAGAGGAGTGCTGCATAAGCTGCCTTGGGCTTCTGAATGAACAGCAGGTTAAAAAAAAATCAATTGATCTATCAGTCAATCAATTGGTCAAACACATGTGGTGGCACTTGTTCCTATAAGAAGTTGAACTGTGTATTTTATTTGCATATGGGAAATACAGTATATGTTCAGATCTCTGTGTTCTGCCACAATATTCTGCTCACCTTCCACCAATCTTCATTAGAATCATCTATCAGCATGATTCGGTCTCCTGGCCTGCAGGGACAGACAAATTCTAGTTTATCTCCAGCTGACTTTTGGGTAGTGAGATGTAGGGAATGCCACAGTATAAAATCACTGGGCAAAATAAAGAATGCCCTACTAGAAGTACATGAGTCATTACTAGCAGGTGTCCCACCAGCAACTACAGCCTTAATCTTGAGTGGTACCTTCTTTACGCTCCATCAGCAAGGTCTCCACAGTACAAGAACTGATTACCTTTGGCATTGGATTTCCCACCCAGTGCCAACAAGAATGAAGTCCTGAGTTCTCTTTATAGCACAAGCAATGACTTGCAAACTATCCACCGGAAGCAGTTTGCATTTTGACAGGGGATTTCAATTATACTAACTTGAAAGCAGTCCTCCCTAATTTCCATCAATATGTGGACTTTGCCATTAAGGATGGGAACATCCTGGACTTAGCTTACTCTAACATTGAGAAAGCATTTAAGGCTGCCTCTCGCCCTCGTTTTGGCTCTTCAGATCATCTCTCTGTAATGCTTATGCCAGCATGTAGGCCTTTGTTAATCAGAGAGAGACCAATTAGAAAATAAGTGAGAGTGTGGCCAGCAGAAGCTATGGAAGCTCTACAAGATTGCTTTGAGTGCACTAATTGGAACATATTTAAAGAGTCTGCAACAAATGGACAACATACTAATGTGAATGAATATGCTTCTACTGTGTCTGCTTATATGCAAAAGTGTATGGAGCATGTCAGTGTTCTTAAGACTTTTGTCATATGAGCAAATGAGGAACCTTGGATGTCACAGGAGGTCCATGCCATATTGAAGGTGAGAAACATCGCTTTCAAATCAGGTGATGTGGCAGCACTTAGAATATCAAGAGCTGATTTGAGACATGCTATAAAAACAGCAAAGCGGGCTATAGTCAGAAAGTACAAAACTTCTTCCTATGGATCTGAGACTCATGTGGCAAGGTATTTGGATCATTCCTAACTATAAGACAGCTTCCCTGACATATAAGGGTGACACCGATTCTCTAAACAAGCTAAATATGTTTTGAGGACAGTTTGAGCCACAATGTTCCAGCAAGGAAGGCTGTTTTCCCTCCCTGATGAGCAGGCACTTAGGTTTGATACAACTGCTGTTCGGAAGGTCCTTTGGAAAGTCAATACTCAAAAATCTGCTGGTCCTGATAACATCCCTGGGAGAGTACTTAAAGAGTGTGCTGACCAGCTGGCCACTGTTGTCTCAGACATCTTCAACCTCTTGTTGGGTCAGGCCATGGTTCTATTATGTTTTAAGACTGCCATCATTGTACCAGTGCCCCAAAACACTATCATCACATTCCTTAATGATTACCGTCATTGCACTCACTTCATTATGATGAAGTGTTTGTTTTGAGAGATTGGTAAAGGATTTTATGGTTTCATAGTTTCTCCCTACATTTGACACATCACAGCTTGCCTATCGGAATAACCACTCTATAGATGATGCACATTTTTATGTGCTCCATCTTAGCTTGGCACACCTGGAAGAGAAGAATAGTCATGTGCAATTACTGTTTATTGTAGTTTGGCGTTCAACACAATCATTCCTCAGCATTTGGTAAACAAACTGAGCCTATTAGATTTTAATACTCCTTTATGTAATTGGATACTGGATTTCCTTACTGACAGGACCCAGTTTGTGTGAGTTGGAAGAAAAGTCTCCAACTCCATCTCCTTGAGTATAGATTCCCCACCGGGCTGTGTCTGGAGTCTGATAGTGTTCAGCCTGATGATCCACAACTGCTGTGCCAAATCTGTTACATGTCATATTGTGAGGTATGTGGATGACACGGCAGTGGTGGGTCTTATCTGGAACGACAATGAAGATGCATATAGGAAAGAAGTGAAGGTTCTGGTGGACTGGTGCAATAAAAGTAACCTGGTTCTAAATGTTAATAAAACAAAGGAGATCTTTGTAGATTTTAGAAAGTCAGCACAATCATACTCCACTCAGTATCAAGGATACAACTATAGAGGTGGTTAACAGTATTACACATTTTGGGGTGCAGATAACTAACAATCTTAATTGGTCTCTCCACATGTCATCCTTAGTGAAGTGTGTAAACCAGCACCTGCATTTCCTGCGTCGGATGAGGAGAGCACATCTTTCTTCTTCTGTCCTGGCCACTTTTTACAGAGGCACGATTGAGAGCGCTTTAACAAACTGCATCACTGCTTGGTTTGGGGGCAACAATGCCTTAGATAGAAAGTCCATATAGAGAGTGGTAAGGGCAGCCAAGAAGATTATAGGAAACTCACTTCCTGTTATTCAGGATGCTGCTTATAAGCACTATGTGCTTAGAACTCAAAGCATTGTAAGAGACCCCACTTCATGATCTGTTTCCATCTGCTCTGGGAGGAGGGTTTGAAGTATTTCTAGCAGGACTACCAGATTCTGTAACAGCTTTGCCATCCTATGCCATCCGTCTGGTAAACTTGCAGGATTCTCTCTCCGTGTACATGTGCACATCAAAACCAGACCGTGTTTTTACTCAGTGTTATTTATTTTGTCATGTTTATGTAATGTATATTAGAAGTGGAGACCCTTTGAGAGTTGAATGCAATGAAATTTCACTTCAATGTATACTGATTAGTGTACATTCAAAGTGACAATAAAGTTATTCTAAGTCTACTTTATGCCTAGCACATGCTACGGATTTCTAGACTGGATATCTGAGAACAAGGGCGTACTTACTTCAGTGGCAGATCATTGTTCTCCTGAGGCAGAAACTTATACAAAGCAACGTAAGAATACATGGGTGAGACCTCTTTGCGTGTAGAGCCTTGAGATAGCTATTGGAAAAAAAAAAGAACCAAGAAGAAACACTGCAGTCTTTAGACACATGGTGTAATCTTTAGGGATCTAGCCTGAAGTAAACAGCAAAATACCATTTGATGCAAAGTGTTCCTACATTTTACAGCTTCTGCAAAATGCTATTATGGGACAGACAGACAAAGATCTTATGATTACCAGAACTTGCTACTTTCCATGCTATAGATGGTGAAAGTTCGTTGGAAAGAATTTGTGAAAGGGAAAGTTGAGTGAAGTGGGTCAGGAATAGGGCAGAAGCCAGCCCCAAAGTAAAGCTGTGTGAAAGTATCAGCACTAAGCTGACAAGGGCCTTTTTCCAGCCATTCTATCCATCCCGAAATCGATTGTTTTACTTGGCTGTATTTTTCACAACTTTCTCTGAGGAAAAACAATCAGACATATGCCACTTGGTTTCCTTAAAAAGCAGAGCTCTGAACTTTAAATTGTTCACAGAATCATGGGGGGTGGCATTTGAGCCACTGAATTCAGCTCCCACTCAATATGAAAACCCAGATTAAAGCATTGATGACAAATATCTGACTCACACTGTCCAAACATGCTTAGCAAATATCCTTAAGAAATTGAACCCAATGCTGTCAAGAAATGTTCTTAACTTTCAAACAAATCTGTCTTCCTGACAGAGAACAGGTTATGGCCTTCTTCTGGATAAAATCTCTCCAAATAATGCAGTCATAACCTTCTCAGTCTTCATTTTCCAAAACTAAACACATTTCCTGTAATTGTGTCTAGCAGGAGTTATTTTGCCAGTCATTCTCATTGTCCCTCATTACATTTTCTTTAAGAAATTCTACACACATATAAAATGTCTGTCTCCTCATGACTCACTAAGGAAGTTTATAATAGTGGACCACCACTAAATAATTACAATTTGACAAGACGAGAAAGAGTTAGAGAATTTCTGTGTTGGAGTGTTAAATAATTATCCCACAAAAGAAAGCAATTGAGTGGGTTTATTTAAAAAAGGAAAATTGTGGCATGTTGCTCCATGCAACTCTACTTTTAAAATTGAAGTACTGTACTAAACAGTATTTTTGGCTCTTGAATTTTAAAAAGGAATAAAAGCCAAATATAATTAAATAAAAATATATTATTGTTTGCAATTTCTCTCATTTCCTTCCTTCCTTCCTTCCTTCCTTCCTTCCTTCCTTCCTTCCTTCTTCCCTCTTTCTATAGAAAGAAAAATCTGAGGAAGGAGCTAGTTCATGAAGCCATTTTTTTCTCAAATTGTTAGATCCTACATTTTTTGGGTAATCTCTGCTTTTTCTCAATCTTGAAATAAAATGGGCAAATTTTCTACCTGTTGTCCAGAGTTCTTTTCCTCCAATACAGGGTTCTCACCTTCTGTGGCCACTGAGAAAACTGAAAGAAAAAAAGACAGAACATATTAAGGCTCATCATTCCATTATGCAACAAAACATATATATTCTTGTTTTCTTTTTTCCAGAGAAGGATGCAATCCAACATCGGAGATGACAACAGATTCTCAAAATTCACTAAGAAACAGAGATCGAGAGAAACAGTCACTGGCATAAAATCTGGGCAAAATGATGTTCCTCAGATTGCAAAGACTAGGGATTTTTGCAACCCCTTTTGAGAGATCTAGCCTTGAGAAGACATTTTAATTAAATGGTCTTTGCTGAAATTAGAGGAGTGTCTGTACATGGATTTTTGGGGGGTTAGGATTCCAAAATAGCCTCGGCCTCACCTTTAGCAAAACACTGGGGACTGAAGGCTTTCAAAGTGATAAGCCTTAACCTCCAAACCAGTCTTGCCTTCCACAGTATAATTTATGTGGAAGGCAAGAGGTGAATTTGCATTAGAACAATTTTTGAAAGAGAATGTTTTCTTTTTTGAGATTGACTATCAGCTTCCAAACAGTAAGCCAGGATTTAATCATTTAAAACAAAATATACAATATGTGAAAGAAGACAGAATTAAAAAGAGCAATATTTCTTGCCTTTAGTAAAGCCACTTGGATATCTCCAGTGACTTCTGGTGTGAATTTTATTTCCATCCCAGAATAGACCAAAAGAAAGGGATTCACATTTCCATGGAAATTCAGAATTACACAATAATTCTGTGTAGAAATTACACATAGGAAAGGAAAAGAAAACAAACAAGGGGGTAGATCAAGACCAAAGCTGAGCTTTTGTCCCATAGATCTTTTCCACCTAATTTTGTGCATTTTGCAGAACTGGAGATGGAGGAATGAGAGAAAGAGACAGAGCAAGAGAGACAAAGACAGAGAGAGAGAGAGAGAGAGAAAACGAGGGAGTAAGAGAGATGTGTGACTGCATTGATGCAGGCTGAACCATTCCTCCTTTCATGTGGATATGTGGATACATATGCATATATATGTGGCGGGATGAAGGTAAGTTTTGGGCATGGTTAACAAAATAGGTTATTTTACATATGTTACATTGTAAGTGGAAATGGGAATTTTACTTACCATTATCGGTCATATTTTCCTCTGCTGTTGGTCCACTTGCTGATGAGCCTTCTGTGTTCTGAACTGGTTCCTCCTTCTCATTCTGGAAGAAATAAATGCCTCTCTGAGATCAGCCAAGGTTGACTGAATGTTGCTATCTGCTCTGGTTATACATTCCCTCAAATTGATCTCGACTCTTTATAGAATGAGTACCAATGAAAGAAACGTGTACCACTTTCTTGATTTACTCATAGTTTCAATCTTTCTTCCTATCTTTTTTTTACATATATCCATTTCCAATAATATTTTTTGCACTATCTCCCTCTAGATTTCACAAATAGGTTTCCCTCAACCCCAGCGTGTTCATCAGGGACCTGTTAATGTTACCAAAATGAAATCTTTGAATTTAGGGACTATACCAGGCTCTTGGTGGGGGATTCTGAGGTGCTGCTGAAGCTGGAGCGATTCATGTAGGCCAGTGAAGTGCCGTAGCGCAAAGTCTCATAAACGGGATCTACCTTTCCACTGGGGCCTGCTGGTAAACCAGATACATTTTAGAATTGGATTGTCATGCACAAAGGAGAAGCAAAGGAAGCTGTCATAAGCAGGGTCACTTTATTCTATTATTCTATACTTTGATTAGCATATGCTATCCTGGATGATTTGTAAAATTCCTTGTGCAATGAGCGAATCTGTCCTCATCAGCCAGATTAACCCACCATGCTTTCTAGTTACAATCTGGAAGGACAGATTTGACCAGTCAAATTCTTCTACTTGGTTCCCTGATAAAGAATATTTGCTAAATTGGATTTGGGAGGCCTTTGAATTCCAAAATGAACTTCCCCGCCACCTCCATGCAATTGTCCTGCCTCAATCATGGCATTTTACTTGATGATCCCAGCACCATAATCATCTTCCATATATAACTCTCCTGCATTTTCTCACTGCTTCTTCTGTATTCTTTCTTACCCCTGAATATCCATTGAGGGCTGGGAGGCAGCAGAGGCAATTTAGAGGTTGGGTATCAGAAGGTGACAACTATGAAATCCCCCCCCCCTTTTTTTTTTACATGCACTGCACATGCATGTCCATCATCTTGAACCCATCCCTTGGAAAGTCTGAGCTGGCAGTTCTAGGAATCAGCAGTCTGGGCGCACCTCACCATCCATTTTCTGTGATTGAATTTCTGCCAGAAATTTTACTTTTCAGAGTTTAGAAATGGCCAAGTTCTTACCCGCAGGAGGAGATTCCTTGGCTGGGGCTGGTTGGGGCTGTGGTTCATGTAGCAGCAGAGGAGAACTAAGATTACGGCGGAAAGAGGTTGCCTGCTGAGGAACAAAGTACAGAAGAATATTTCACTGGCTATTATGTGCTTGACCCTCTGCCATGCTGCTAAGAAGAGGGTGAATTAATATAGGAAGCAACTTTGTTTCACCTTTGAAACATTACGAAGGACTAGTTTATACTCTAATTTCTCTTTATATGCTTAACCTTCAGAGAAATTTTAAGCTAATTAAAACAGGACAAGAAATAGTCTAGAAATCTGCACATCAGCTTCTAAAAATGGTGATCCTCAGATTCACTTTTTGTTTCTAGATATCTGGTATAGCAGATTAAGTTTGGTCTCAAACCAAGAAAATTCCTCCATTTAACATTGATTTCACAGAGCTGTTGGGAACCCACATCTACTGTTTTTAAATCCCTGAAGGAAACATTAAAATATAATCTAATAAGACAAAAGTTGTGAAATCTGAAATGTACAGAGAAGCAAACTAGCTAATAGAAACTGGCTTTAAATGGTACAACACTTTCTGCTTCAATATGTCAATTAGTAAGCCACAGAAAGCACATGTAATACATATTGAGAAAACCAGAGAATCAAATGTAATTAACTCTAACACAAGAGATGTGTATTATAATACTGCAGTTTATTCATTTTGTCTTTTGCACAACAAAACAAAGTTTAACATAATAATGTTCAGAAATGAAAACAAATTATATTGTAAAGCTGCTTTCCATTCTTTCTTTCTTAACCATATTCTCAGAATGCATATCAAACCTCTCCTTTTTGTAGTTTACTGTTCACGTGGAGGAAGGACTGCAATGCTAGCAACTGTTTGCATGCAGTGAAACGTAACTCATTTAAGCTTGATTTCATAAGCTACAATTTGTTAAGGGTAAATATAAAAGAACAGAAACAGAGAAGGTGGATCGATAAATGTTTAATGGCCAAGTGCTTTTTAGAATGTCCTTAAGTGAAAAAAAATTACAAGTGAGTAAAATATGTTAAAATCTACTATCATTCTGGAGAAGGTGTAAGACAAATCAAGTGATTTATCCAGTTTAAGCAGAAATACATATCCGGTAACAAAGAATTGAGATAATTAGTTTCAAGAGTATTTTGAAGAACATATTTTTTTAAAAAACATGAGTGGGTTGTTTTCCTTGCATGATCTATAAAATAGTACTTCTGAACAGCTGGAGCTAGCAGTACGTAAAGAGGGTTGCAAAAATATATTTTTGGCATGTTGCTTTATGTCTACTTTATGTTCATTGATTTATTTTTTTATACAATTTGTTGGGGCAATTTTTAAAACCAAACCTGGTCACATATGATAATTTTGATCTTACATAATAGGAATTTTCTTGAATTGGCCAAAATTTATCTTAGTTCAGCATTTTGAGAGGCCTTCCTTTGCCCTTTGTCAACTAATTTTTAACAAATTTTAATTTTTTAAATAAAATTAATTCAATTTTTTTTAATTCTAATATTTCATTTTTTTTACAGTTTATACTGTTTTTTTTATTATTTTGATGTTTTATTGTACATTGCTAAGAGTGACTCTCTGAGGAAGTTGGGAACCAGTAGTTCAGAAATGTGAAAAATAAATAAATATATATTTTTTGTTTTTCACACTGGCCATCTAGATGTCTCTGAGTACTTTTAAGTGGCAGAAGGAGACATATCCTCCCCTGCCCTTGTTCCCCTAACCTGTTTGGAGACATATTGTCCCCAAGCCAGAGGCAACAGCCAATCTGAACACAACCATTTTCACTAATGCTTTAAAGCCACTCATATTAGTAGCCATCACCATGCCATGAGGTAATAAATACCACATATTATGTGCTAAGTGAAAACATGCTTTCATTTGCCTATTTTAAATATCCGCTTAAGTTTGCTTCATTAGATGGCCTAATGTTTTGAGAAAGGGAAAAATATATTGTCTATTTTCTCCATGTAATGCTTAATTTTATATACCTTAGAAATATCCTTACCAGTCATTTTTTTCTAAGCTAAGTGTCTTACATTTTCCAGCCTTTCTATGTAAGGAAAATGTTAAAGACAACTGATTATCTTAGTCTGCCTTGCCCTGCACTTCTTCCAGGTCCAACCATCATTGTATAGAACATACCAGATATAGATATTCCAGTCATTATAATGCTGGCTGTTCTCACTCCTATCACAGAACATGCCTTTTGCAAAGCTGCTATGACCAGATATCTATTCAGAATAACCTGAAGACCTTTTGTCCAGTAAGTAATTCATATCAATATCTGAAATTTTGGGAGGGTTCTGTTTTGCCTTAAAGTGGATCACTTTACACTTACTTAAAATGAATATTTATCATTTGAATGACCATTCACCCAGTTCTGAGAGATCCTTTTGAACATTGTCACAACCACAGGACTTATTTGTTTTTTTAAAAATAACATGAAATCCATTTTTTACATGAAATCCATTCCTAGTGCTCTTGATGCAGGACTTCATCCAAAATGCACTAAAACTTTGTAGGTAAAATCCACTCTCCTATCCTCCCCCTCTCTGGATCTCCCCATCCTAACCCATGCATAGCTTTGCTTAGCTACTTACTGTCTTGCCCAGGCACTGCTGATGAGAAACTTCTTCTGAACACCACAGATGCACACTCACTTTGCATGTCTTGCATCGTAGGCCCTGCTTGGAGTTTCCTAAAAGTAAAGGCAAGACACAAGGGAGTGTATTGCCAAAACACAAGAAGGTGTTTTGCCAAGATAATAGATGTGTGTTGGTGAGAATAATATTGAGGGGTGGAAGAAGAGAGAATCAAAATCAGAAATACATGCCTGATAACAAGGAGTAGGCTATATACTCATCTCAAATGAGGCAAATAACGATTCCCATCCTCCCCACTCAACATATCTACAGGGTGGCCTATTATGATCCAACCATCTTATGATTCCCCCCCCCACCATCCTTATTTCCAAGGTTATTTTTCCTATGCACTTACAGACAGTCCTCAACTTACAACTGGCCACTTTAGCTCCCCTCTCCCACAAAAAGCTATTTATGACCTGGTCTTGTAGTTACAGTTACTGCCCTGCCCTGGTGATGGTTCATTCTTATATCAGACACAGGGATGCTGTACTGCCCTCCAACCTCCCTTCGCATTCCCCCCATCGAGCCCCATACCCTCCTCCTCCACATCCCGCGTCACTCGTCACACCTTTCAAAGAGCTCCAGAGCTTGGGTTAAGGATGTGTGTGATGGACAATGTGGGGTGAAGCTGGGGCAAGGAGGAGGATTTGGGGCCTGATGGGGTAGGAAGTAGACTCAAACTCCACAGGGACCCTGAGGGGCACGAGGAGAGCATGAGGTGCCCCAGAGGGTGGGGATGCCTTGAGAAATTGGAGAGCCTTGAGGCATTCTATGCTCCACTCAACAGTCCACATATTCATTTAATGACTCTGTTGGAAAGAAGAGGTATATAGGGTGTCATACATGAGACAAACACATGGCTGCTTCACTGAATAGCCATCACAATTTTCAACCTATACAAACAAGGAAAAGAAAACAAAGTATACGGCCTATAAGACTTCTGCCCACCTCCAATTGCTTGTTGCAAGCCTTCTTAAAAAAAACAAAAAAGAAAAATCAGGCCTGTGTGCATCTCCTTGCGGTCCAGCTGTTCTATTTTTTTTCTCTGTGGACTCCACTGAAGCAGATGAGGGACATCAACAACCAACTTCCATCAATGCATATTTTTCCAAGCTTCATCTAGAATCAATGCCTAATCTTTATTAAGTGTAAACCTATTTGAGGAAAGGGAGAAGGGCCATCCTGATTTGGCAAGTAGCTCAGGATTTACAGTTTAAGTAATCCAGATAGGAAAAAAAAACCGACCAAAATTCAGCTCCTGAGTGTACATGGCAAGAACTAGCAAACATTATTCAGAAGGTTGGGGGGGAAAGGCATTCAATTGCTTACCTACAATAAGCTGGTGGCAAATTTCACAAGGATTGTGTTTCTTGAAGATGTGTTCCTGGAAGCTGTGGGTCTTCATGGGCTTGAGGGTCCCCAGGGACTTGTGAAGGGCTCTGGGGGAGGATTCTACTTCGGAGGGAGCTGGGGGTGGAGACGGGGGTGGCATGGAATCAGGAGGGCTGAGCAGGACATCAGAGGGCAGCTTGAACTCATTACCAGAGCGCAGAAAAAAGTTCTCCACACTCTTGCTGCGCAGGATGGTCTTGAGTGACAGAGAGCGTTTGAACCTTTGTAACTAGCAGACAAGGGGAAAGAAAAGTGGAAGAAATAACAGCAGTCACTGGGGAGGACGACATCATATATTAGCACCGTGAACTTTGCTCAGTATCCAATGGAAGTGATGAAATATTCAATATACTTAATGAGTTTTGTGCTTTCAAATAGCAATAGTACTTAGACTTATACAGCGCTCCATAGTGCTTTATAGCACTCCCTGAGTAGTTTACAATATCAGCATATCAATAATTCGGGTTTTCATTTTACCCGCCTCAAAAGGATGGAGGGCGGAGTCAACCTTGAGTCAGTCAGGATTAAACTCCTGGCTGTGGCCAGAGTTAGCCTGTAATACTGCATTCTAACCACTGCACCACCATGGCTCTGGTGTTGACTCCTAGCAACTGCCTGGATTAGTCCGTAGTTTTCTCGGTAAGATTTTTGGAAATAGTTTGCCCTTGGCTTCTTCCTAGGGCTGAGAGAAAATGATGGATGAGATCACCCAGTCGGCTTTGTGATTAAAACCATAATCTTCTGGTTTCTAGCTGGTAACTTAACTACTACATCAAACTGAGCTGGTAAACTTCATTTTTGCTTTTCCCTTCAATCATCACATTTCCACTGCAGAATTTTCGAAAGGAACTGAAGGTAATGCTTTAGGGGAAGAGTCAAAACAGAAACTCAACCCATTTCTCCTTCTCCCCATTCCTGATGATGCTACCTAGCTTGGTAAGGAAACATCTGCAAGGAAACAACCAAGCTCAGAGAGCATCAAGGACCTCACAGAAGAGAAAAGCTTCAGCCTCATTCCACACTTATCGGAGAAGCCTTAAATAAATAATCTAGAGGAGGGCACATGGGAGTCAAGAAAATGTTTCTATTTTAAAAAGTAAGCAAAAACTACTTTAATCTGATTTGGAAGACAGGCTGCTTTGGTGGCGGGGAGGGAGAGAGGAGAAAAGGGCAAAGAAGAGATTGTTTAAGGCTGCAGGCCATTTATGTGCTAGAAGAACCATCCTCTCTTTACTGTTTTTCTTTCCTGCTGGGGAAAAGAGGCCTGTCAACAGTGGAACAAGTTAGTTAACATATTGTTAGGAAAATTTTCCACTGACCTGCTTCTTGTGAGAATAGGACCTTGAACATACAGAGCAGAGGCCATGACTAACTGCACTCAAGGTACCGACCGCATCTAGGCCTGGAGGAAAAACTCTGTTCAATGTAACAGCAACCCATTGGCTAACATGTGGGCCTAGGGGACTATGGCAGATGCTTCAATCTCTAGGCGTGCCTGGAGATGAATGAGCTTTATGGCTGGCTAGCCTGGAACCTCATTTCACTTTTCACTATCTGTTTCTGGCGAATGAGAGCTGAATCCATTTTGCTGGTAAAGCAGTTATACTTACACCAAGTATGGCCAACATCAGAGAAGGAGGATGCTTCAGGGATAAATAATATTGTATCTCAGTATATCTTAGCAATTTTAGTAGTTAAATACACCGGCTACTTTATTTTATAGTAACTCAGCAATTTGGCCTCTTACTTTGCGGTTCCACCTTATACGTATTGTAATCTGGCTCACATTAACCTTTTTCTGTGGAATGCCTTTACTAATACATTTTCCAATCTCCTTATAGAATGCCAGTTTTGCTATACCACATAATTCCAGCCAGTTACTGCAGTAAAAGGACTGCTGTTAGTGGAGCCCATGACAAGCACCAGCAATGTGGCATAATCCTTCCATCATCCCCAACCAATATGGCCATAGGAAGTTATGGGGTCTATATTTAGGGAAAAACCATGACGAAAGTTATAATCTGGGAACAACTAAATCTTGAAACAATTTTTAAAATGAATAAATGCCAAATTCTTAGCAGTTTAAATAAGTGCTGAAGGATACCATCTGAAACCCAAGATAAATATAGCCAACAGCATACATTATTGGGACTCAGGAGGTTGTGATAAAGTGAAACAAATGAATGAAGACAGAGCAAAATGCTGGAAGTAATTACTTTGTAATTGGATGGGTGGGTGCAGAACAGAGGAATGCAAAAGGTGCAAAGATGAAGAAAGGGAAAATAAGATCACTGGATGAGATTCGGAACATTTTAGAAGACAGAGTGGAAGGACATATGAAATGTGACTTTCTGATGGGAGGGAAAGGTCACTTCAGAGACTGGAAAGCAATGTTTGGAAAAAAGGAATATAAAGATGTGGAAGTGAGGGGCACAAGTGATACAGCTGGGGGATTCTTCTAGATGCAAACAAGGCTTCAGCCAGCAACAGAGCAAGGCTGGAAGAAGTGGCTAGGGAGCCAAAAACAAAGAACAAGAGGAACTGGTTAGATCATTGAAACAGCCTGAAAAAGGAATTAGTTTTACAGTGATGAGATAAAACAGTTTTCCTCAGATAAGAATCCAATTGTTTCTGCTGGAGTCTGGCTGTGTTTTAGGTCCTCTCTAGTAAACAATATCATGTTGCAAGACGAAGGAAGCTGGCTTTTGGCAGAAACCATCCTTCCACCTGAAAAATACCTTCTCCAGGAAGCTTTTAAAACTTGGCTTTGGTTTAGTCCCAGGGCTGGGGTTAACGCACTATTGTATAGATAGGGAGGGAGTGCTATGTTTTCATCTGTGTTGCCTTTAAGATTATTTTAGTATTTACTATTGTATGATTTTGTTTTATAGAACTTTCTGATCCTTTTTGCCATCTAGTTTCTATTGGAGTTGGTGGCGATAGATAGATAGATAGATAGATAGATAGATAGATAGATAGATAGATAGATAGATAATCACTTGCTTGTACCTTCAGTTCTAGGGAAGAAGAGTGGGGGAACAAGGCCCTAACCTATCCTTTAATACAAATCAAGTCATATGCCTGTGGGAGAAAGGACTGAAACCAAGAGCTGAAGAAGTGCCCAAGGTAATAGAACAGTTGAGAAAGCAAATCGTGGTGGGAAGAGCAATGGACAATCCACCTGAATTTGAATTGAGGCCACTAATGTGGTTTGGTGCAAGAAGAATTAAGAAGGTGGGAGAGGAATTTACTGTTTGTAAAACCATGGCAAGATAACTAGGATTGTTGAGTAAGTTTGGGGTTTAACTTGTCCTAGATTTTAAAGATTAACTATCTTTTCTAAGCAAGTTTCTCAGAACTATAGGAGGAGGAGTGGGGAAAGAAGAACTATTTACACCGATTTAAATATTTGCTGATGTATCATATTATTCTTATGTCCGTATAAACTTGATAGTTGTGTGTATGGTCATTCAATGCAAGGATTATAATATAATAGAATTCCTCTCAATCTTTGGTTCTGAAAGCAAGGAAGAAAAGGTGTTATGTTGACTGATAACTAGAAGAGTTTTGTTTTTTACTGGAAAAGGGGACAAGGGACATTTTGCAGCTCTCCCTGCGAACAGAAAAAGTGACAGTAAGATTAACAAGAATAAAATTGCTTAAGAAATATATAGGAGATTTCAGGTCTTGAAATAAGGACCAGCTTCTGCCCTGCAGCAAAAGCTGTAGAGTTACATTATTAACAAATGCTTTAAAAATAATCATTTTTTATTAGAAATGACTTCAAGGAGAAAAGAGCAGTTATGACACTATGAAAAATCTACAGAGCTGAGACTCAAATCAAATCTATTACAAGGATTCCGCAAATGACTGGTTATTTATTTAATTACATTTCTTGTCAATGGGGGAGAGTCCTTGTCAGATTTTCTGCATCGATTTCCAAATGACTGCCCACCTTCTGATATTTGCACTTTAAACTGGGGGACATGGTAGGTTGCCCTCAGCTGCTCCCTGATATAGTACATTGTGCAGAACCAGCTCCACCATTCTTTTCTTAAAATATCCAAAATACATTGATATGTTTGTACATTTTTATTGTTGCATACAGGGTATTCTTAGGTGCTTTGGTTGTACCTGGGTCTCACAAAGACAAGGCTGACAGGTGTAGTATTGAACACCAAATTTGATTTGATCTCCATTGACTTTAGGGAGAAATCCATCCATGTAGCTTTCTTAGCAATAGAATAGAAGAAGTTTCTCACTCTCTTTAGGGATTTATGTTAAACTTCTCAATCCAACCTACCTCCCAGTATTTTTGAGCCATAACTAGATCCAAACATGATTATCTTTTAGAAACCTGCCAAATACAGCGAGTCTATTTGGGCACAACGAATACAGCTGGCTGGGTTAAATTTTTCACTCAACCATGAAGCTTGCTGTGTGAACGTTGGCTAGTCCCTATCACCCACTCCAGCTTAGAAAAGCTAGTGTATCTGACAGAGCAGAAAAAGCTTGGAGCAAAGTTAAATGGAGAGAAAGTAAAAGATGTTGGAGGATGTAGGATCCACAGTTGCTCTATTTTAGCCTTAGTTGCTTCCATCATATCTGCTTGTTATTATATTACACAGAGTAGGTTAGATTCTGCAACCCGTACCAGATTCTGCTTTGTTGTTCTATTTCCTGCAAGGTTTTCCCGTTGTGCTCACATTATTATTTATTTTTAAACTGCCAGTATTTAGGTTCACACCTGAGACTAAGCCCTATAGTTTAGAAATCATCAGGGGAAGGCTTCATCAATGCAGTAATGTTTGCTGGTTGGAGGTTTCTGAGTGTTATAAATCCACACCTCTTAAAGTTGCTAAGGTTGAGAAATAGTGGTCTGGGGTAATGCATTACTCTGGTTTGGATATTCTGTTTCCTTATTCCGGGACACCCATGAAGACACAATATTCTAGAAGAGCTTATAGAACTGCCATTTACCATGAGTTTGCATGAATCAGGTCTGCCTTTTAAAATGGGCTAAGGGGTGGAATTAATTCAGCCTTGTTAGAGAAAACGGGGGCGGGGGAGGAATAGCAAAGGAACATGAAATATAGAGGAGAGAGCTGGGGGTAGGGAAAGTGCAAGGTGAGAGAGTGGAAATGTGCATGTGGTTTGCCTGTACACCTCACTGGCTGTGGCTTTTTGCTATATGAGCCAGTGAGGGGGGAGGGGAGGAGGAATCCAGCTGTCTCTGCAGACTGAGCTTAAAAGGTTTCAGCTCCACTAACTACTGATGAGCCGGGACCTTTGGAGCGAAAGAAATACCACTGGGCTTCCAAATCTAGTGTGCTAATAGAGGCTGCTTCATTTCACACAATTCAGGAGCACAAGATCTATTTTAGCTCAAGACGTTTTTATTTGTAAAAAGATGTTTGAGACCCACTTGGATCCTGAATTGGGCTCAAGAGTATGTCCATCTACAGATGGGACTACACATTCCAAGTCATCCATTTATTTTCCTTGAGGCATATTAGAAATAAAATAAAATATATCACTAATATCACAATTTTGTGGGTCAAATTCTATATATAACATTGAAAAATAAATTCATTTCTGCTATAAGCAGCTGATAAAACCATAGTAAAACTGAAAAGTACAGAGTTTTTTTAAATTAACTAGGACACTGCAGTATAGCTTAAAATTATTCATGCATGTTTATGAACATATGTGAACCTACCCCACAGATGATATGGTGATGAAGTATCCTTGTGGTCATGTGATAAAAATTTGGGTGCTTGGCGACAAGTATGTATTTAGGATAGTTGTAGGGCCCAAGTCACATGTTAGCCATTCATGACTATTTCAGTGGGTTTTCAACAAGAAAAGTCAATGCTCGATTCACATAACCACCATGTCATTCACTTAATGATCATTGCTTTGTAATGGAAGTTCTGATTCCAATTGTGCTGGTAAGTCAAGGACTACCTGTAGTCAATTTTGCTTCATTTCCTTTCCTCCTCTGATAAACATCACTGCTCTTATATTTGCAATATTATTCTAGTATATGTAAATGGAGTAAAGAAAGCCTTTTCAAGGATGGAATGCAGAAACTTTCATTTATTAAATGTGTTTCAGCTGCTGTAATGTCATAAAATAATACAAAAGAAACTGGATCAGTTAAAAAGAAAAAGAAAGCAAGGAGAATGGAACAAGCAGAAAGCTGATCGTAGCTAACCTTGAGTATACCAATCTTTTGAAGCATGCTAGGTAAGGAAACGAACAGTGCAAGGATTCCAGAAATGCTATTACTGTTGTAGGATATAACAACAGAATCTCGAAAGCTTCCCTCTGCCACCCTCTCATATCAAGCCAACTCAAGGCAGAATTTCATTCTCACATCTTCTCCATCCCCAGGACTGAGTTGTCTCTTTATTTTGCCTTAATTGTTCCTGGGTACTTTTTTCAAGATACTGGGGGAGAAATTCTTGTAGTGGGGTGGGTGGGTGTAAGGAGTTAAAAGTTCTTCAGGCAGAAGAACTTGCTGCTCCCATTGGTATCTGCAAAAAAAGCCACGCAGGACAAATGGCACGTAGACCACAAAGTAAAATACATGACTTTACAAATGACGTAACTCTATCATTTGCAGAATGACATCATGACACCTTGTAATTTATAGAACCCAAGAAGGTGCTTTTATGTTCTTTGGTTATTTAATATCTGAAAGGGTTATTAGAGTGGAAAAATGAAAGCCACTAAAATGAAGCATGCTCTGGGGTAGCCTCTGGATCTTCCAGAAGTTGTGCAAGAACGGGCATGCTTTCACCCTGTTTTTGGAGGTTGCAAGGACTATGGAAGAGCATTCTCTGAAGCCACTTCAAGAATGAAGGCTCTAGAGCTGCCTTTGATAGGCCACAGGAGTCTGTCAACAGAAAAATAACAGGACCTGAAGATAAGAGGCACATGGCAGATCCTGGGGATCACACACAATCAAACTTTATTTTTTTTAAAAACAGATGAATATGCAAAGAATTGTTTTTTTTTTTGTTTGGGTGGGGTGGTATGCCAGCAGAGAGAGGTTCATCATTACTGTCATGTCTTCCCTCCTTGTTCCCCTCCAATTATAGCAGAAATCTCCAAACTTGGCAACTTTTAAGACTTTTGTGGACTTCAAATTGGAAGTTGACAAGTCTTAAAAGTTGCCAAGTTTAGGGACCCCTGAACTATAGCATATTGGGATCACAACTTCCAGCATATACAGCCAGTATGCAAAGTCGGTGTTATAGGAATTGTGGCCCCCACACGTTTGTGGAGCACCCAGTGGGAGGGATTATGCCAAGAGAGGGTGAGGCGTTCCCCTTCACCCAGCCTCTCTGTTGTTTTAAACAGATGTTCAAAAGAGCAGATTCAAGGTTCCTGCTCAAACTGCCATTTCTCAGTTTTTTGCCCTCTGCAACATTCAAAGAACCTGCCAAGACACTATAAAAAAGGCTAATATTTCTTGACAGGCAGCTCAAGCTATTTTTAACGCAGCTGCTGTGAAAACAGCTTAGCAAATATAAGTCTCATTGGCGACTCAGCTCCTAACCTTTTCAGAAACCGTCCTTCCCCCATATTTATGAAATGATGTACAATGTTTAACTTTCAACTGTTCTTATTGCTTCCAACGCTACATATCCTCCAGATGCTTCAAGAACCAATTCACAAGTTCGCAACTCTGGGGATGTCTTTAACTATCTCTCTCCTTCTCCACTGATATTCATGGTTGCCACCACCTATCGTATTGGTGGGATTATATCTCACACTAAGACACAGACCACTGGTTGCAAATCATAGTGACAAAGTTGACATACATTTAGATAATAGTAAGCAAATCATAGTGTTTAGTGAAATGTGCCAACCTAGTAATGGATTCAGAATGCACATCACACTAGAATCTGCACCTGCTTTCTGTTAAGGAATGGGCTGGATTTTATACAGATAATGCTCAATTGTTATTCTCATTTTGATCTAACCAAATCATGGAAATATTGGAAGTCTAGACCTGCTATCTTTTGAATGATGAAGGTAAACGAACAGCAGTTTTATTCAGAGAAGAAACCTCATTAGATAAGGGGAGGAGGGGGGAGTCACAGTTTGGAAAGTGGTGCTTGCAGTTTACAATTATTTCTGTTAGAATTTGCTCCAGTAGAGCAGCAATAGGAAAAAACTGAAATGGTTTGACCAATCATGTTGTTGTCTTCAAGTTGAATTATTATATAGCATTCTCAATGGCTAGGCTTGAAGCTAGCCTGGAGAAATTTAAATTGGTACCAACTGCAGTTCCCGTTGGGCTGAATAGAACAAATTCAGCCAGACTGATATTTAACTGATTGTATCATTGTGCTGGATGCCAACTTCCATTCAAACTCAATCCAAGGGGAGCATTTTGGAAAAAGCATAAATGGGGATTTTGAAGGGGTATGTACAAAGGGAGGAATAGACTCAGGATCAAAAGCAAATAGTTGTGATTATTTGGACTGGAGACTTTCCATCTTTAGCCCAGAATGGATTGCACTTCCCTGTTCAAAACTGGTGTGCAAATTGGATTATTTCTGGTGAAATCCACGACTAAAAGCTTCATCAAGATTTTGATTAATGTGCCAGGGGCTGCACATAAACAAACAGGAGAAGCCAGAACAAATATGTTTTAGAGCTAGGTAAATTCTACATTTAATTTGAAGTTCAACTTTATTTTCCTTGCACATAATAAATATTCTCTTCTGTGATATTCTAAAGTACAATTCATTGCCAACCTATGGAGGGTCTATATTTGGGGGGAGGATACATAGCTTGAATTCTTAGATTGTGCCTCTCTAGTTTAAATGCCCTGGGATCAAAATAAGGTAAGAGTCATCTTTTGTATGTGAGCCAGAATAGGAACCTCATCTATTTCTCATACCTTGCTTTGGGTCTATTGGGTTAGAAATATCGCAAGCAAGCACAGTATTTGAGATAAGAATCTTTCCAGCCAAGATGCCCAAAATTGGGGATTCTCTCAAAATTGTTTTGCCCGGCAGAATCTTTGCCCAGTTTTAAGTAAGCAATGGCAAAAAAAAAGTCTAATCATATTATTTGCTGTCAAGTATTCCCCCTTGTCATTATTCTACATGCTATGTCACTGTACATTGCTCTTGATGTATAAATAAAATCACAAAACAATAAAATAGCTACAGTCATGCAACAAAAACAAAATGCTTTAAAAG